AAGCCCTCTAAGGGATGCCATAGGGGAAAAGCCATGAGCATGCGTACTGAAGAAGGATTCAATGAGTCGCTAAAGAAGGGTGGCCAAAACTTATTTGCGCCGTCTATAAAAGTGTTTTTTTCATTCTGCAGCTAGTAAGACGTAGGATTTCTACACTCAGCACTGTCTGAACTCAACAGTTAGATTGCTGAGAATTACTCGCTGCGATAGAGCAGCAAAGCGGTCATCGGCCAGCGCTCGCGAAGTTGCGTGATTTCCACAGCTCGCAGCGACTGATGGCAGGATGCTCGCATACATTTTTTGAACGATCGATAATGTGATCCCCCGCTAAGAACCGGTCAATATTAGCTGGGTAATATAGCCACGATAAAACGAACTCACCTGCCTACACCGACCAGTTAAAAACAAAGACAGTGAGTAAAAGATCAGCTATTGATAACGTAACTCACACCATTTGAAGTGTCGCGCGAAATACTTAGTACACGAACTTAATCAAGTAGAGATAAATGCAAGTTAAGGAAAGGCGGTAACAGCTAGAATCAGTATAGAGGGTTGAGTAGAAATAAACATTTGGCAAAAGGCTATCATAAGACTGCAATAGTCGTTGCTATCTTGTGTATTGCTGTCATTCGGCCTATAGCTCAATCCTAGGCAAGGAAAACCTGCGGTCTGGTTCCGGATCGAGGCACATCGTCGACTAGAATCGGGGATACTCAAATTCACATAGGAATGACGTTCACCGATTGCGCAACATTTTAGGAGGACAGTTGGGCTTACCGGCTGGCCCTGAAGCAGCGGCCGGGAACCTTCAGAGGCGGTCACCCACCAATCAACAACCATGAGAAGTTGTTTTAAAACCATTATTCACCTAGCACTCATTCACAATGCCCTTAAATATCTGAACAATTAATTTTTGGGTATCTTGTAAATTGACGACCTTCCACACATTTTTTACCATTGCCTTCTACCCGATAACGTTATTCTAAGATCCCGCCTGCATAAAACTATCACAGACCCCATCTTGCCAGTCCCTGTTTGATTTTATGGTCAATTTTCCTTTGGCTATAATTTAGTAACCGTATTTGTTTAAGTAGAATTATCGAAACACCTTCATGTAATTGACTTCTATACAGCTCTACACCTAATACTGAATGTGTTTTGTGATTAAACTAATTTCATGGTGAATCGGCGGACACCTAGAACCGGATTCAATGAACCTGTGGAGATGGTAATCAATTATGCAGGTCAAAGACTGAATGAATTCTAAGTATTCCTCTACCCACGCATTTGTACGAAAATATAGAAAGCCAGCGGCTTCTATCGTTAAACCAACTTGCATGACCCCTGCGCATACATACGGGAAGTCCCGTCTCGGCTATGAGGGAAAGGGGGTCGAAAAAGGTATTTGTTAATTATGCCTAACCAATCATATGACAGGATGGAGACAACCTACAGACCGCCTTCCTTTTTTACTTCAATTAGTAACGTCCTCAGCTAATGCAAGCTTTATCTCCTTCCTCTCTCTCTCCCTCTTAAGTAAGAATTACTTTCAGGGGCCCTATCTCATGTACTCTATCCACAAGTGGAGGGGAGTTGCAAGGTGCGGGTAAATTG